CCCCCCCTCTTATATCAGATGCATAATCTTTATTTATACAACCTTATAAAACAAATTTGATAAAAATTTTAAAAACAACCTTAAATGTATAAGGTATTATTTCTTTATGCATAAACTCCTAAAAGTCTTATCTACACTATGAGTAGCTAAATGTACAACTTATGAATGTATGCATTTAGAAATTTGGATTCCCATAAAACACCCCATGCTCTCATCATTCTACTCTCTCATCATCGCTCGCATCAGTCGGCGATTGAAGCTCTCAAGACACGCCTATTATCTTCCCAAGACGATGACTCAGATATGATTATTAAAATTGGTTTGGGTTATATTCAAGGTACTTTTCTTCATTCACTTTGTATCTTCTCAGAATGTTATCTTTCCGATTCTATGTCATTTGTTGATTCCATTTGAGGTATTTCTTTCTTCCAATTCGTATCCTCTCATACGGTTGTTCAACCCATTTTCATCTCCATCTTCACTTCTGCATGCTAGGGATTTAAGGTTCTATTTGTCTTTAAAACAGAATAATGTGTTAGTTTTCTTTTCAGTGGTTTTGCCTTTTTTTTAAGCTTCCATTTGAAGCTCTCAAAATGTTAACAGGACTTTGCCTTTTTTTTAAGCTTCCATTTCTTTTCAGTGATTGATTCAATATTCTTTTGTGATTTAGGTTCTAAGAGTATAATGTAGATACGACCATTTATTTTATTGCTAATGGAGGTGCCACGTTGGTAGTAGACACCCAGCACTTGAGACTTAATCTTCGAGTGGGCTCCATCCCCCATTAATCCTAAAGTAGAATGAATGTTTAAGTATGCTCTTTTTTGTGTTGTTTCATCTAATAACGGTTGTGTGCTTATGGTCCAAATTGGTTCATTTGATGGAATTTACCCAACACGTACCCATGGGTTTGTTCAACTTTTCTTCATATAGCAGCCTTCTATAATCACCCTAGAATTTTGGCATCAATTTAGAACTTCGATGTGTTTGTTGGTACAAAGTTAAAGTCTGCCTAAATATTTACCCCACCCCTTCCGAATGTGATACAGTGTGTTTGTTTGTGTTTTTTTTAGTGATATGTTTGTTGTTTCAATTTCAAAAGCTACATTCTAATAATTTGCCTTTTTCAAGGGACATTGAAAGTGAGAGTAGTTAGAAATGTAGATGGGATGTGTTGGGTAAATTGGTATTTTGCTACATATTATTAGGGTATTTTGGTATTTTTTGTTTTTATTAAAAAGTATGGTTAATAAATATATAAATAAAGAGAGAATTGTTTGATAGTTAGTTGCGTTAATTATCTCACAAATAATTACGGATGGTTTTTAAATTTTATTGGTTTTGAATAATTTATTTTTCTTACAGAAGTTGTTCATTGCATTCATTAGCAGAG